TGCAGGATCTCATCCCTATGCCAGATCTGCAGAAACAGAATCCGTACCCCAACAAGAGCCCCAGGAGCTCTCCTAAGTGTGAGTTTGAGAAACTCTACTTTGGACATGTCCTTATCCCGCCTCTTTACTACCCCAATTGGGAAATCGTGGATTAGAGAGGCTTCTGCCTCTCTAATCTAAGGGATGTGCCTGGATCACCCAGCTGAGTGAGTGGTAGAGGGAGGGCACGGGCCCAGATCTTCTGCAGTTCAGGCCAGTGGCACCACGTGCTCAGAGGGGCTTCTGGAGAGAGTGACCCCCACAGTACCATGAAGATCAGAACACAAACACGCCGGGTCCAGACCACACCCATGTTGAGCAGACTGCTGAGAGGAAGAGTCAGAAAACTCCGCAGCAGTGGCACTGAGCCAGCTCCGAGTAAGCAAGCCCATACGGAACACTTCCCGCTGACCCGCTGGAAAGGCAGTCAGGCGCTTTGCATTGATGAGCTGTGCCCAGGCATCAGACCCGAGGCAGAGGAGAGATCCGCCAAGGAGAGAAGGGAGGAGAGCCAGACAGCCCACTTGCTGTAATGAACTGGGCTGGCCTGGAGAAGTCCAAATCCCAACGTTTATCATTTGGCTAGGTTTAAGGAATCAAAATATCTCATGGCTGGAAAGCCGCTTAAAAGTATCTGTTCCAACTGCTCATCAGACCCCGAACCCTAATTCCCAGTAAGAGGCCGTCTGGCCTCACTGTCATTCTCCAGGGCCCACTAGCCTCAGTGCTTTTCAGCAGAAACCGGCTCCTTACCTGACTCACTTTGACCCAGCAATTTGAGTTCTGAGACCCAAGCTTAAGGAAATAAACCCCAAATATGGGAAAAGCTATATGCACAAAGTTGTTTCTTACAGTAGAATTATAATACAGTAAATCTTGGTAGTTTGGAGGTTATAGCAAGAGAGAGAAATGACTTATACAGCCTTGACTGAAGAACAGTTCTCCACCATCTGGAAAAGACATTTTTTTTTTCATTTCAAAATATTACGGGGGTACAAATGGTTTTGATTATATGGGTTGCTTTTATAATGCTTGAGTCAGGGTTCTAAGTGTGCCCGTCACCCAGATACTGCTCATTGTACCCATGAGGTAGGTTTTTGCCTGTCCCCTCCTCCCCCAGGAAAAGACATTCTCTGAGGAGGGGGTTTCTGCAAGGATACACAGAATAGGGTAAAGTCCCCACCACGTCAGCCAGCTCAGGAGGGTTCATCCTGACAATCAACCCCGGCTTAATGCCGCTGCCACGGAGTTTTTTGACTCTTCTTCCTCCTAGCTGTCTGCCTGAACATGGGTGTGATCTGGACCCAGGATGTCTGCAGTCTGACGTTTATGGTAACGTGAGGGTCACTCTCTCCAGGGTGACAGATGTCAGAACCACGGCTCTCTATAGCAAGGGTCAGCCAGATCGTAAATATTTTTGGCTTTGAGGGCCATGTGGTCTCTGTTGCAATTACTCAACTCTTCTACTGTAGTGTGAAAGCAGCAACAGATGATATGTAAATGAATCAGTGTGACTGTGTTCCAATACAACTTTATTTACAAAAATGGGCAGAAAGCTGGATTTAGCCTTGGGCTTTAGTTTGCTGATCCCTGATTTCTACCCTCACATCGATAAATTTTAAATGGCAAAAAAAATGTTTGGAGTGTCCTACATGTTCAACACAAGGAAATGGTTTAGTAAGTTATTCATTCATCTAATTCATCCAAGCCACAGGTATTTATCAAGTGCCTGTTTATGTTGGACCCTGTGCTGAGTGCTAAGGATAAGGCAGGGAGTGGGTCAGGAAGGTACACTGAGTCAAAGGAATGTTACTGAAAATTTTACAAGAGTCTGTAATAACAAGGAATATCTTTATAACGCTACATGAAAAGGAAAATAAAAATTGTGTATAAAAATAAGACCAGTGTTTTTATTTAAGAAAAAAACCACAGGGGAAAGGAATAAAAGAAAAATATCAACACATTACGACCCCCACAGTCCCATAAAGGTTAGACCACAGACATGTTTACCTTTGACTGGCTGGACCACCCCTCTGCTCTCTTCCCCTGAATTTTCCAATTTTGTCATATGATTACAAATTATTTTTATAACAAAACACTCCTTCCCCATTGCATTTAGAAGGGGAAACTTGTCTTAATTTTAAGATAAAGTCTGTGTGCCTCCTGCTTCCACCTACATGCAGTTCCCACTGCTGTCCCTGAAGGCTGTCAGAAAAAGCCAAACTGCTTGCTTCTGGATGTTCATACACACGCCCAGGCTGGACTGGAGGTTTCAGCACCTGGGACAGAGCCACAGCTCCATCGGAGCCCAAAGGGCTCAGAAGCCAGCAGCCCCACACTGGGAGTCCCTGGAGGACAAGAAGCCTGTGCCTTTCCTGCCTGGTCCTCCTGCTGGGTCCATGTAAGACACCTGGGCAACACCTGTCAAAGCAGCAAGGAGTGTTATCCCCTGGGCCTGACGGATGCAAATGGAACTAGCCCTGTGACCCGGCGGGGGAGGATTGTTGGTAAAAAGGAAGTAAAAACAAATATCGCACAGATCCCTTTACCCACAGTATTAGCTTGGGAGAGACTCGCAAACATGCCAATACCAGTCACAGCAACATCTGCTTCTAATTGCTTCTCCCCCAGCATTTGCAGAGCTCGTCAGCTGGCGTCTGCCCTAGGAAAAAATCCGGTATTTTTAACAAACTCTTAAATCAGATGGCGTCCTTGGTGAGTAATTTCTTTCGTGTTTGGTCTCTGAGGCTAAAAACAGTGAGTGCATCCTTGGGGGACATGGCTGTCAGGAGGGCAGGGTGATCAGGAGGTCCCACTTCAAATGGTATGACTAGGAGTTTCCAAATCATACACCACGTTCAGATGTTTTCTTTCATTTATCATGTATTTATATCCTAAATATAAAGTATTCTGCTGTTTTTCTTTTTAATTCCACTGTGTCCACTTCTTTATGGGTAGTTTTCCTCTCTTTTCTAAATATTTTTATAAAAAGTTTCTTTGTAAAACAAAAGCGTATGATTTTTTTTCAAGAGTACATCTATCGGTGCTCCCACTTGTGAAGTACTTTAAGCAAGATTTCATCTACGGATAAAACTTTCCATTCTCTGTAAAGAAACGGGTCTCTGTTTTTCGGTTCTCCTCAAAAACTCACCAGCCCCTTCCAACTGGCTGTCAGGAAAGGCAAAACAATTTTGAAATGTCCTACATCTCCAACACAAGGAAATGGTTTCATAAATTAAAGTATTCATTCATTGGATTCATTCAATCCATAGGAATTTATCGAGTGCCTGCTTATGTCAGACCTGCGGGGCCCAGTCTGAAGCACGAAATCAAACCTAGAATCTGGGCCTCAGAGGCTGTGTCCCCTTCTTCCCTCCAGACCACTCGGGTAGCCTCTGCTCAGTATAGACCTGCCTGGAGGCCATACCCGTCTAGGATGGGCGCAGAGGGTGCTCACAAACCTCAGTGGCTCCCTACTGTTAACCCAAACCAAGACACAGAACACTGAAAGTCTCTCTGCCCAGGCCAGTTTGGAGCCCGGAGCCCACACCCAGCCAAGCCCAGCTGGTCTCTGGTCCCTGCACACATCCCACATTCCACCTCCCATATTTGCACACTCTGCACGACAGCCTTCCTCAACTTCATTCACTCACTCGGGCAACACAATTTACCAACTGCCTGCTATGTGCCAGGCAGTGTTCTAGAGGCCAGATGACAGCAGCAAACAGGCAAAAATCCCTTCCCTCAACAAGCTTACACGGGATAGAGGGAGACAGGCAAATGAATGAACATGTAAAATCCATAGAACACCAGGTGATAAGTGCTGTGGAGAGAAATAAGGTAGCAGAGGGGGTTAATGAATGCCAGGGGTTGGTGGGCAGGGGAGGCCTCACTGGACAGGTAACATTTGAGCAGAGCCCAGGAGGGAGGGAGCTAGCCTCCTCACAGAAGGAGCAACAAGTGCAAAGGCCCTGAGGAATGTGCTGGTATGTTCTAAGAAAGGCAAGGAGGCTAGCGGGCTGGAGATGATAGGAAGGGGGTGAGGAAGGCTCATTTAGGCCTTGTGGACCATCAGAGAGACACTGGCTTTGACTGTGAGTGAGATCAGAGCCTGGAGGACTCTGACCAGAGGAGTGACATGTCTGAGTTATACTGTAACAGACCACTCTGGCTGCTGTGGTAAGAATGAGAGCAAGGGGTGAGAGGGAAAGAGAGAGATCAGATAGGGAAATACTGCAATTACCCCAGCCAGCGACGACAACGATAGCTGAGACCAGAGCTGCAGCAGTGGACGTGGGAAAGTGTCAAGGTTCTGAAGGATCCGCTGATGGTTTGGGTGTGAGGGTTGGATGGGAAGAGTAGAGACAGGGCTGGCTCTGGTGTTTTTGGCCTCGACAACCAGAAGGATGGAGTTGCCATTTATGAAGTGGGGATGGCCACAGGAGTGGCAGTGTGTGGGAAAGGTGGGAGTGGAAATCATGAGCAGCAACTCCTCTAGAAAGCCTCCTGCAGGAGCTGAAAGCACTCAGCCCCTCCGAAAGCCAGCCCCTCCCTTGATCTCTCTCACCAGCACTTACACACACACACACACACACACACACACACACACACACACACCACTTCTCTGCACCAGATCTCCCCATGTCCATACGCTAACTCCCTTCAGCAACCCAAGGCTGACTCATTTTATATCATCTGGAAGGGTTTGTACACAGTAGGTGTTCAACAAATATTTTTAGTAATATGCTACACAGAATTGAACCTATGATGTTTTAATAATCTGACAACTCAAAAATGTTCTTTCAAAACATCTAAAAATCATGCTTAGCACTGATTAAATATTAAGTGGTAATTATTCCATCTCAAGGGTCCTATATATAGATGCTGACCTGCCTCCAATTATTCAAATTGCCAAGGCGAGCTCTCCCGTGGAAATGCCAGCCTAGGAAGATGGTCATTACCTTGCCGGTCCTTATATCCCAGGCTTTCATTTCGGAGCTGAAGCCTCCACATAAAAAAATGCTGTGGTCTTTTGGATGAAATTTCAAGGCAGTGACTCTAAAGTCACTTTTGCCACTAAATAGCTGGGTTCCTACAACATAAAAAGAGAAGAGAGGGTTAGAAAACACTTAGATCACAAAATAAATAAATATCGTAAAACTAAGATACCGTCTGGTATGTCGGGTAAACAGCTCACCTGGGCCTGATGTGGCCCAATGGAGACTTCCCAAAAACACAACAGCAGCAGCGGCATGCGCCTTCGCTCATTTCTGGCCAGCCCCACCCTTGATCAGCTGAACTTCTCTCTTCCCCCAGGACCAGGCCAGATGGCTGGATCCACGAATGCCACCTTTCATGTGCTCTGTAAGCATTACACGTATTAACTCATTTAAACCGCACGAGGACCCTAAGCCCACTTTATAGCTGAAAACAACAAAGCCCAAGGAGATTATGTAACATTTCCAAGGCTGTACAGTTAATACGGTAGATTATGTATCTAGGAGTCTGAAAGCCAAAAACAAGGTTGCTCCAAAGTGATATTTTTCAGGATAAGCCATCTTACAATAATGGATGAATGGTTTGCTATAGAGTGTAGCAGGTGGGGGTGACTCATACACTGGGTGATAAATGAGAGTGGCCATCACAGTAGCCCAGCACCCACAGAACGGACAGGGTGGTGTGGACTATAGGGGTCTCACTGGCTTCACAGGACTCGAGACAGTCCTCGGCCTTTACGTATCTGTCCTAAACTCTTGTCAAGCATTTATATGCATTGTGGTAAATGTCTGTGTGCATGTACACACACACACACGCACACACACACACATACACACACACACATACAGTGTGAAAATGTCTTTTTTTAGTCACCATGATCTTTTAGAGGTAAGCTATATAAACTTCAGAAACGTCATCATCCAGGGCAGGTCAAAGCTGGGGCTCCTTCCACTGCCCAGAGCTGCCTCTATGTCCCAGAACACTCACGGTCGTTCTTATCCATTCACATTTAATCTGCTGGAAACTGCATGGAGAAACGGCGCCAGCCTCAAAGAGTCTGAGCGCGACCCCTGCCATGTCCCCCATGGCTGGGCCCACATACCAGGCACAGCACCTGTCACAGGCCACCCAGCCAGACACGTGGAGGAGGCTTTTCTCGAAGACGATGCAAGGGCTCCCATAGCCCAGGAGGGAGAACCCCTGGGCCCAGGGGAACCCCTTCACTGGATTGAGACAGTGGGCAGCTTAGGGACACAGGAAGCAGGTGACCAAGAAGAAGACCAACAAGATGTCCAGATCTGGAGCATCATTTCCTCTTCCAGAAACCCGAGAAGCAGTGTTTCTGAATTCTCAATTGAGAAAGCACTAAAGGTTGCCCTGCTGTGTGTTTGGCAACCCTCACATGCTTAGTTAAGTGCTCTACCAGCTCCCAGGTGAGGAAGGAAAGTCACGATCAGTTCTCACAAGAGTCACAGCAGGAGGCTGCAAAGATCCACTCCGCCCAGAGCCAGTCTCCAAACTCATCTGACGGTACACCCCCACGATGAAAACCCTTAGGCACACATCGCCAACATAAGAATTGTTGTTAATTAGTTACATAATGTGCCACTGTGCCAATGTATTATGAACATTTTTAAAATACCAAAAATAGAACATTTTTAAGCATGAGACAAAGATAAAATAACCAATATTTTAAAATACATTTTGATATGCCATTTATTAAGAGTGTCAACAAACCTCTTTGAAATCATTAAAAATCATATGAGCAACAGGATTGAATACGCTTCCATTTTTTTTAAACGTAGGGAGCTTTTTGTGATTCAGTGATTTGAAAGTATCCTGGCTGTAGGTTCAGTTTATCCACTGCACTCTCTCAAAGCTGGCAAAGGTTCTTGCCAGAGCTGTGTGGACCTGGATGGAAGATGTTCACCACTGGCCACAAGGGAGACACTTTCCACTTCCATCCACCAATGATGCAAAGGATTCTGTGAACATCTTGCTAGCCAAGCTCCATTTCCCCTGAAGTCAAATAAGGGCTCCAGCAACTAATCAGAAGGTATTATTGCACTCTCAGATTTTAACAACCCAGCTCAAAAGCCCCTGAAATTTTCATTTAAAGGATTTTAAAACAGATTAGAAAAACACTATTTCCAAATTTTTTGGAAAGCAGTCACTCTTTCATCCTTTGTGCAAGCGCCATGGTTACCATAATGCATAATTAAGTGTGTTGATTTTTTTTTTCTTCTAATATCTTCTAGGGGTCTACCATTGGCAGTCATCTGTCACCAGAGGAGATTTTGGAAAAACATGACCTCTTGTAAATGAAGACTCTGTACCTCTTTAAGCTCCAGAAGACTCTCAACTATCCTGCTGCAAGACGCAGTGCAGGCGGCATAGAAGTCTCATGGCCACCCTGTGTCATCATGATGTTATCAGGACCCAACCACTTCAGGCCACATAATCCATAATGGTGAAGGGACAGTAAACAGCCACCTCGCTGTCCAACCCAACGGGAGCAGTTGAGGCAAGCATGCTTCTCTGCCACACAGGATGTTGAAAAGCCATTTAACACTGGAATCATGAACAGACCATGGCAAGGTGGCAATTCTTGATACCTGTTCTTCAACTACAAGAGTATTAAATAGGAACTGATATGGACAAAGACTGGGGAGAGACTCACCAAAATGAAATGAGCTGTTCTAGTAGTATAGTGAGTTAAATTTAATTATATTAATATTTTTGCTGTAATATTGTTTTTCTAATAAATAATGTTTTTTTAAAGCCATCAGACAGATGAGCAGACTTGTGTGTGGTCTGGGTGCTATGTCCCTCTCTTACTAGGTCAGCAGACAAACATTCTCAAGTAAACCAAAAAACTGCTTTTGGGTTAATTAATATAATTGGAAATCTAGTATTTCTCAAATTTATTCTTCTTTTTCTTTCCTGAAACTCACCTGGAACCCAAGCTCTTCCCTGCCTTTTAGGCTACAGCTGGTGAGCAGGAACCAACCATGACATGCCCAGTTGGCAAGTTCCCTACCCCGGGAGGACAAGGCAGAGGGCTGCCCCCACCTTAGTCCCCACATGCCCATGCCAGAGACTCAGAGGATCACTGTGGCAGCATCGTGGCCCCAGGACACTTGCTTCAGCCAAGTGGCATGGGGTCATCTGGAGGCTGAGGGCAAGGACCACCATCATGTCCCCTAAACAGAAAAGGTCAAGGCAGCATACCACTGCGGCCCCCACACCACCGATAAGGCCCAGACGGGACAGAAGTTTCTTCTCCCAACAGGGACAACTACACTTATTGCTGAGAACGTTCAGTGGCCAGCTTCTTGCTCATTTGGAATTCATGGCCAATCCTTAAATCCAAAAGGAAAGACAAACTCTATCTGCCTGGAGAAAATTTTTTCCTTGTTTCTTGGACCATAGCATATAGCCATATGCTTAATTTCAGAAATGGCAGTGAATTATCCATATGTTTTTTCAGAAAGTGTAGTGATACAGTCTTGCCAACGATGGGGAAGAAAAAGGGGAGGAAAAGTGAAAGTGAATTGCTAAAAGATGATGATTGAACTTTTTCTGCTAAAAAAAAAAAAATTCTGAATATTATTTTTCCTCAACTTCCTAAAGAGATTGAGAATCTGTCTTTTAAATACTAAAATTTTCCATTTAGAAGACAAGCTATAGTTTACACATTCTGCCTACTTTTTTTTTTTAAAGTTTTTAAGTTTATTAATCTTCTTGTGAAAAATCCACACGATGGCTGCAGATAACGTCACTGCACAATCTTTACTCCTTCGGCTTTTTGCCAGCACCAACATTGGCCTTTGCAGTCCCCCTGACTTTCTTCATTCTGTTCCTGTGTTCCTTTAGCTGCTTTCTTGATGTCTTTTTCTTCTCGTACAGGTCATGCCTTGCAAGCCTATGTTTGGGTTCATTTTTCTTTGCATAATCCAAGGAATCGTAAATCATGCCAAAGCCAGTCGTCTTGCCACCACCAAAGTGAGTTCTGAATCCAAATACAAAGATGATATCTGGTGTGGTCTTGTACATTTTGGCTAGTTTTTCCCTAATTTCTGTCTTTGGTGCTGTTGCCTTCCCAGGATGAAGGACATCGATGACCATTTGTTTCCTCTGAAGTAGTCGGTTCGTCATGAACTTCCTGGTCCGGACAGTTACTGTGTCGTTCATGATGGCGGTCGACCCTCAAACAGCCAGGGAGGAAAAAGCTTGCCTACTTTTCCTTATAATAACCAGGTCTTGACTATTCTTCTTTGTTAAAAGGGTCCAAAACTAAAAGAAAAATTTTTGGATAAGCTTCCAGATACCTAGTGAAAAACACTAAGAGAAAAATTCTACTAAGTAAGACATTCTCAAACAAGACTTGGTTTCAGAAATCAGGACCATAGCCATCATTGTTTAGCACGATGTCTGAAGCAGGAGGTGGTACTGCTGAAGAGTTAAGAGCCACACAGACCTAGGACAAGTCCCTTCACTGCTGTGTCTCATGCCCTCATAAATATAAGGCCATCATGGGGGCCGAATGCAACGTGGTACATAAAGCATTCTACGGAGCATGGCAAATAGCAAACAACAAAAGGGAGCTATTATAGTTTGAAAAATGAACCCCCAAATTATTGGATTCACCCCTGGTTAAATTAAAAGCTAAGACCAAGGGATCCAGGTTTTTAACAGCAAGAACCTTGAGAGATTAATGATTTTTGAGCTTCTGTCATGAGGCACTGAGAATATAATACTCTGGGCTGCCCTTTCCGTTTGTTAAAGAAATATGGATAAAGGCTGGAAAATATTTATCAGTGAAACATCTTGAACACAAACATGAGCCATGCTGGAGGTGAAGGTCTTATCTTGTCAGGTTTGTTCTTACTCTACCTCTTCACAAATGAAGTAGCTTGTTTACCATATCCTCTCCTGGGCAATGCTACTTTAAGTACAATAGTTAGTTAGTACATAGCCTTTAACCTTGAGCTACATCTTGCTTGTTTATCTGTTTGTTCTAGAAAATTCTGTTTATTCACTATATGCTTGTTATAGGAAATTGAGTTTTAAAATATTTAATCCACCGACACT